AAAAAAAAAACTAAACTGCAGAAAAATGGAAGCGACTTAAAGAATCAGGGTCTTCGAGGCCAAAATATCAAAAAACAAAAACATCCACACACCAACGGTTCTTAATCACATTATTTCTTACTACAAGGAAAAACAAAGTGCTCAGGAGTTACACAAAGGAACAGCAATAACATTATCAACACCCTTTAGTAGTTTTAACATCAATAATATAAAGTTCCCTCCTCACTCGATGACGTCTCCTCTGTTTTCCTCCAGTGTGCAGTCATCTTTCCGCATCATGGACATGTGTCACGGCGGCCCCACCAATGCAGTGTTTGACGCTCTCAACCAGAACACCATTCATTTCTCCAGACCTCCTGTGGTCCCTGCCGCCTCCTCTGGCCTCCCTTTGGGCTACAGCAACATACCAGTCCACCCTCAGGTCAGATACTGGAGCTGTGAGAGCGTCTAAATAAAGTTACAAGTGATTTATATCTGTGTTACAAAGACGCCACCGTCAGTTCTTTTTTTAAACTCCTATCAGTGACATTGAGCCTTTCATCCAACATGGCTGTGTTAATTAAATTATGCTACTACACATTGTGTCTTGGTGTCACCCCATTTTTCTCAGAACAGAGAACATAAATAAAAACCTATAAATATCTTGAGTCCCTGGTTACATAATGTTTCTGTGAACTGGCTCTATGATGTTGCCCTCTTCTGGAGAGAATCTTCAACAACAAACCACCTTGAAATAATTGTGCTTGTGCTCATCTGTGCTTTTGTTGTTATCTCCTGACTTTTCTTTTTCCTCCTTTCCCATGTATTTCCTCTTTTCTGCCGTCGTCCTGTCCCTGTCTTCTTCTTCTGCTCTTTTCTAATCTAATTCAGGCGATAACCCAGCCAGGTCCCTCGGTGTTGCATCCAGGGATCGCTCTAACAACTGGGAACGGTCAGTTTGGATGCAGCGACTCGTTCCCGCCGGCCCTGCTCCTTTGTCCTCCCACCATGCAAGGTATTCAGCCTGCGCCAAAGATTTCACATTTCAAATCCTCAAGTGTAAATTACTATGGTTCCAGATCCATTTGAATTCCACCTTAGCCACTTTTCTGCTGTTTGAATGACGTATAGGTTGTTTTATGCTTCCTTTTAAAGGTAACCTGAATCAACCAGCAGGGTATTCTGTTCCCATGGTAACTCAGGCCCCTCCCATACAGCCCCTACCAGTGAGGCCTGGTGTTATAGCTCAGGTAAGACTAATAAGAGTTGAAATGCAGCGACAGTGGTATTTTTAAGTACACATTTAGAACACGGTTTCTGTGGGGTCTTAAACATCTTAAATTCAATCATCTGAATTTTGAGACTTTAAAATGTACAATAGTATGTACTAGGTCTTACATATGTTGATGTCAGTCTCAGTTATGTTAACGTTAATGTAATTGTACCTCTTTCGCAGTTTAAAATGTGTTTTTTGTTTTGTTTTGGGGGCATATTTACTTTGTAATACTCTGTGTGTTGATGTTCTTTCTTAATGTACAGATATTAGCACGGTGTATGGTTGTTGGTTTGGTTTTGTTAATGTGGGAACTATATAGTAAGAAATTGACATTGCTTCACATCTGGTGTGCTGCACATATGTCTAAAGGTTAATTCAGTATGGTCTTAAATTGAACTTGTAACTCTGTAGCACAGTAGAGTATAGTTTAGCGAAGTCTACTTACACTACACAGTCCTGGTGTCCCTGGGTAATATTTTGAGCTAATGGAGAGCATGCTCATGTGTCTCAGTAGATGATCACACTCTATCTCTGATTTTCCTCCTCTGTCCCTGCAGCAGGCCTGGTCCAGCCGTGGGCAGCAGCTCCTTGTCCCAGCAGCCTGGCAGCAGATGACTCCCGTGGGCCCTCCTCCCTCTCACCCCCCTCCACCACCTCCATCCTCCTTAACCAACGACGCCACAGCCGGCCCACAGAGGATCAGCGACTGGGGGTGAGTCAAAAAACTTAGCAAACTTGAAAAATCTGGGAAATTCTTTAAATAAACATATAAGTGGCGAGTGAAGAAAACATGTTTTGTTGCTTTAAAAATGATATCAACTAGGGAGGCTGCTGTAAAATGAACCCAGTGACTTAACTATTCAAAGCTGTTGTAATGTTGTAGGATTTATGACATTGCATATTTTAGTATGAAGCAGTGTTATTTTTGTCTTGCAGGAAAGTACGTCCCCACAGCAACCACTACAGTTCAGTGATTCAACAGCCTCTCCTGACTAACCAGATGCCAGCCCTCTCTGCCCATCAGCCAATCAACATCGGCATAGCTCATGTTGTGTGGCCACAGCCGGCCAGTAAAAGGAACAGACACAGTCACAACAGGTGAGATTCTGCACCTTTAGTCATGCTTTTAAATTTAAACAGCTCTGCCATCTTATTTACGGCTAACATAAAAACTGTTGTGCAAATAGGAACCTGTCCCACCCCAGTAACATCCACATAGCGGCTTGTCGGACCTCCAAGATGGCTGATGTTGTTGGAAAGGCAGTGTCAGGAAGGGAGCAGCCTCAGAGGGAGGCGCCTCTGGTGGAGACCAGGCAAGTGGAGGTTCAAAACACAGATGAGGAGGAAGATGATGCCGAGGAGGAAGTGAGCTGCTTCAGAGAGGTGGTACCGAACGGTATCAGACAGCTGGACCTCTCCAGTCAACAACAGAGAGATGTGGCGGTGCTGATGGGTGACACACCGAGTCCTGCTCACAGCGTGGTCAGCATTCGCAGCGAGCTGACTGACGGAGAGGAGGACGAAGACCCACAGAGGTGCCGTCTGAAAGAGTGAGTAACATCAAAGATAATGCATGTGGATGATAATCAGTACCTGTTGGTTTTCAGTAGCTGGATGAGCCTTTGTTACAGGTGATGTCTGCTTCAATCAAAAGTTTTAATTAAACTCTGTTTGAGCCTTGGGATCTTTTTAGACCTGGTAGTAACATCTGCCCTGAGGAATGTGATCACACAGGGACAGCTCTAAGTTTGTCCTTTCACACCTGAAAATAAAAAAAAGCCTACATTTGGTTGTCAGTGTTGATATTGTGTCAGTGGCCACAAATAAACCAACGCATGTGAAACTCTGTGAAGTGTAGTTTGGTTTATTTTGATGCTAGCAGTGCAGAGAACACTGGTTGAGACGCCCGTCCTTCACGTGCGACGCAGGACACAATAATATTTAGTAACATTAAAATGATCGAAATCTCAAATGTGTCTCAGAGCTCTCCACTAGTGATCGGATCGCTCAGGCCGGGTGTGAATACCGGGTTTGAACGGGGTCTTAGAAACGCTAACCTGCTCTTCTCTGTCCATAGGTGCAAAGAGGAGTGTGCGTGCGAGGCTTGCAGAAACACCAGTGTGTCCATGGAGAGGGTGTGTTCTCTTAGCAGCCCTGACAGCAGCCTGAGCACCAACTCTTACAACTCCAACTCTCTTCATTCCAGCCCCTCTGTCTCACCCTGCAAGAGACCCAACAGGTTTGTGCACGTGCTTCCTCGTGTCCAAATAACAAAGATGCTTAAGCTCCAGTTCCACTCAGCTCATTGTTTGTTTTTTCTTCTGTGCTCAGCATGTCTGAGGACGACGGCCACGAGAGTGGCTGCGACACAGTGGAAGGTTCCCCCACATCCGACACATCAATCTCCCCACGTGGCAACAGACACTACCGTTACCTTGATAACGGCAACCACAACAACCGCCCACCTTTGACTTCCATGGTAGCACCACTGCCTACCCCTGCAGTGCAGGGCAGGAGTCCCCGCGGTGTCCGAACAATGGTGGTTCCACCAATGAGAGTGCAGAACAACAACAGTCAGGGAACAGAGCAGCGTGTCTTCAGAACGGGTCAGTGGAAATATATTTTTCTCACTTAAAAGCTTTTATTTATACTATATAGCAGTCAAACATTTAAGGAGTGTATTGTATTAGACTTGAGTGATTGTGAACTAACACCAAGAGAATTTATCTTCCACAAATGTGCCTCGTCTCGCTACTTGTCCTGTGGTCTGTCACCTGTGCTTTGGTGGTGTTTGCGTTGCAGGTCATAGGGAAGCAGTAGGGTCTTACTGCCCCCTAGTGGGTCATAGAGGCTGTAACAGGTGATCAAGAGACATAAGCAGAGAACTGGCCCCTGCAGTCTATTACCTCAGAGATGCATCCACAGCAGGATATGCTCACATTTCCTGTGGTTATTCTTGAACAGCTTTCCCTCCACCAAAGTTTTCATCAAGAAAAATATCCAAAGATGAAACAGCAGAGCGGCTGTGTTCATTCCTCGTAACTTTATTGAGTTATATGTTAAAGGTTCAGTGTGTAGAATTTAGTGACATCTAGAGGTGAAGTTTCATGTTGCAGCTGAATACTCCTCATCTCACCTTCTCCTTCCCAACATGAAAGAGAACCTGTGGTGAACTTCAATTGAAAACACTAAAGGTTTAGTTTGTCCAGTTTGGAGGACTGTTAAAAACATGGCAGCCTCCCCAGAGAGGACGCCCCTCCATGTAAATATAAAGTTTTTAGTTATAACGGGTCCATTTTATGGTTTCACCAAAATCTTACACATTGAACCTTCAACTATAGAACATGTCTATTAAATTTGTGTACATGTTTACTCAATTTGAAATTCCTCCACTTTGGGTAAAACCTCAGTGAAGCCAAGCTAAGCAAAAGTTGCTTAGCTTAAATTTGGACATTGTATAAAACAAAGTAAAATGATGGAAGCTCTCCTGATCTCAGCAGCTGTGTTGGCTGATGACGGACTTTGAACAGTGATTTGAAATCATCCAGTGTTTATTCTAGTTATTACCTTAACCCTAACCATTAAAAGAAGAATTTAACAGCTGTTTAAATATTTAAACTGTTACTTTGACCACACCACGTTATGTAGTGATCTGGATTTTTTTTTACAGTAGAAGAAGAAGAAGTAAAGTTCTTTAACAACAGTATAGTAATGAGTCTGCTGGTTGTTCGTGGTGGGGGTAAAGGTGGATGCATTTCATTTGGTATTAGGTCAGAGGCCATGTTTTCTCCACCGGTTCTTGCCACACAGCAAAAGTTGCCCTCAGGCACTGACCTGAGATCAGTTTCACTTTATCTGGTCTCCCCAGATTTAAACTTGTGAATTTAAAACTGATTCAGATCAGAGTCCAAGGATCAACTTTGCTCCTCAGGTTTCTGTTTTGAGTGCCAACAAACTCTCTGTCATTCTTTCTCCTAAACTTTATGGATGTTATTGTTTTTATGGTGCCGTGTTTTATAAGAGATTCACAGCTGTCAAGACGTCGCCGACAGGTTTGATCTTTTAATGACAGCCGAAATTAAAAAATGCTGAATCACTATTCCTGGAAGACGTCATTTAAAGTCCACACAGACTGTTACCAAGTCGGTGTGGTATTGTTCTGTATGAGTAAGTGGTGTTGGCCAGTGTTGAGTCGATCCTCTCACTAATGGTTGCGATCAGGCAGCACCTCAACATGTAACTCTCGTTGAATTAACCTTTTTAATGCAACCATCCAAGTGTATAAGCTCTGAACATCATACCTGAAAAACTCTCCACTGCTCATTGCACAGCCTCCTCAGAATTTTTTATTTTATCCACATTGTGTGCGTAGACTTTTAACACCAAATAGGAGGAGTCACGTCACACTGTGGTAAAACTACTTTACAAAGAATCCTCCTAAGATAGGAAAATATAATCACTCCCACAAAAGGGAAATGAGCAGTAAGGAAAAATTGCAATAATATTTCAAATGTGAACAAAACATATTCAGTGTGAACAAGATTGCAGATGTAAGATTTTGAAATAATAAAGTTAGCAGTGGTTCAAATTCTCAAAAAAGGGATCTGAATTCTGTTTAAAGTCACTTTGTCCTTTTTTCCTCTGGTGTGTGTTTTTTTGTTGTTGTTTGAAGTCTTTGTTGCTCCGCTGCCTCTGTACCCGACTCACTTCTGTGTTCTCTCTGTTCCAGCCTCAGAGTCCTGGTCCCGGTCCAAAGGGCGCTGCAGTCTCTTAGGACAACAGAACAGTCCCTCTTCTGCCCACCTCCTCCCATCCGGCCCCCTCATGTCCAGGCAGCAAAAAGCAGCGGGGCAGCACCTGCCCCCTCTGGCCTTTGGACAGGTTGGTTTGGTTATTCTCTTTTTTAATATACTGTATGGGAGGAACTGAAGCCTCAAATATCTTTTGGGGAATTTGAATGCGATGAGTTCTGCTTTGCTACAGAGCTCCAGGACAGAGAGATGAGGCTGGTCTCTCAAATAAATCTGCAGATCCATTTTAGATTTGAAAAAACGGCGGCTGTGTTGCTTAGAAATAGGTATTTTAATGAGCTTATGCAACCAACCTTTGGTTACCTAAAGATAAATGAAGCTAACCAGATGTGTTATAATGTAAACTCCATTTTATAACTGGCGTGATACAATCTTCCTGTCAGGCACTGACACATGGAGGACTTGTGTGTTTTCTTATCTCTTCTCCGTCCTGGAGATTTATTCGCTTTCCTCCAGAGTGTTTGGTGAGAACCTCGATAAGACTCTCAAGCTAGTAGCTGGTTAGTTTAGCATAAAGGCTAGAAGCGCGGTGGGTTCTTCTCATTTAGTGACGATAAAGCACTATATGCATCGGGACATGGACAATGTGCGATTATCATTTAGTTCCGTCCAATGGCTGCAGGCTGCAGGTGGATGTGCAGCGTCTTTGAGCTCTGTCAGGCTCCTCCCCCTGCTAATCCATATATGGTTACTTCTGGTTTTGAACTCGAGGCTTCAAAATGGCTGCTCTCAAAATAAGATTCCTCTGTGTCTTCCAGGTGCAGCCGTACGTTTCAAACCACGGCAGCAAAGAGTGGAACGGCAACTATGGGCCGCTGCGACCGCATGCCTACATTCCCCCCACTGTCCACACACACACCTTCACACACCTGCAGCACAGCAGCCCCACGCACACCTCAGCCGCCCCACATACCCACACCCAGGGCCTGCCCACACACACCCTGCTGTCCTACCCTCCCGGCGGCCCCCTCACCACCGCCCACCACCCCCATCCCATCCTGCCGTCTCGTCCTCCTCCCCCTCTCCTCCAGCACAGCTATGGTCTCTCCCACCCACAAGGAGGCACTATAGTTCACCAGGTAACCCTGGGCATCAGCGCCCACCCCCACCACCCCGGTCATCCCGCACACAGGCTCCTGCCCTCTCCGACCATCCACCCGCACCACCAGCCCAGCTACGCCCACCTCCCCCACCAGTTCAAGCCTCCCTTCCCCCCTCCACCGCCCCCTCCTCACCCCTACATGGCCTCGCCAGCTGCCTACACCGGCTTCCCTCTGAGCCCCACCAAGCTCAGCCACCACCCACAGTTCTCGTATATCTGAGGTCCAGGACGGGGCCACAGCAGTTCCCTCTGGGGAGGAGGGGCAACACAAAATGGAGCGGGGCTGCGACCTGGGCAGGTAGAGCGAGTAGCAGAGCACAAAATGGACACTTTTGATGATGAAGATTAGGAAGACGAGAATATGATTATGAAGAGGACGGAAAACTGTGTATTACAAGAGATTCGGAGAGAAACACAACAACAGCAATGCTGAAGATGATGTTTTATGGAGGTTTATTAAGCCTCCTTCACGTGGAGGTTCACGTCAAAAGTCAAAGACAACTTCGGATCTGATGGACTTATCGCGAAATCAGCAGATTTCAGCCATCGGAGGAAACTGATTAAAACTGCAAAGCTTTATAAGAGAACATTACACAAGTGAAATAATTCACCCGTGATGATGATAAGGAATCTTTCATTAAGAATGTCCTTTGCACATTACCTCCTGTCTTTTAGTGTTGAGTTGTGTTGTGTTCTAATTAGAGGCTGGAATTCATTTATTGTCGTTGTTGGTGTGGGATCGCTCAGCCTCCCCTTCCCTTTATCTTTGTTGCCTTGTAGCACGTGCTCGTCGGTCAGATCTGTTTGTTAAGCCATCCCAGTCTGTATTAACCAGGACCCAACGCTCCTGTCTCTGTTTCAGGCAGACTTTGCTGCTGCCGCCTCCTAGTGCCTTAAAACCAGAGTCTACGACGTTACTTCAGGAGCATATAGATTGTACATTGAAATGGGCTTGCAGCACTTAACCTTCAGACTCTGATCACATTGGGCTTATTGGACGAACGCTTGTGGTTGTTTTTTTAATATTGGACTTCAGTTTGCTTTCTAACTCAGAGTATGGATTTACTTTAGCTAGAGGCTGCACATTTAGGGCTTTGACTGAATGAGCTTTTTAATGTACATAAAGAGTGATTTGATATTTTGATAATCGATTTCTATTCACTATAGTACTTAATTCATAACAGTATTGTCACTGTTTACTGTAACTGCAATACAATCTAGATAGCCTCTGGGTTGCTGTGTTTGTATTATTTTTTGCATTTAGGTTAGACTTGCAGTAATGCATCTTATGTTTTAGAGTTTTTTTGGGAGTGGCATAGACTTAAGAGAAATAAGTTTTTACTTTTAAATGCTTGTCAGTGTTTGAAATAATCAGCTTACAGTGTCATTGCTGGGCTATTGAGTGTTAGAGGTGTATTGGTAATTGTTTAAAATATTTGTGTGAGATGAATTTTGTCCATGTATTGAAGCCTGTTGTCAGTTTTGATACATTCCTTCAGGGTGGATGCATAGCCTTGATTTGTGTGTGTGTGCGTGGGTTTGTGTGTGTGTGTGTGTGTTTGATTTCTCATGTGTAGTAGAGCTGCGTCTTTACCTGTCGTCATATCAACTGGTATTTTACTCCAATCAGCACCAAAGACTGTTCATTAATCATTTCTGAAGCATGGTCGATACGATTTCTCCCTTTCACCTCCAGCGTACTGTTGCAGTTATCAACATCGGAATATATTGTGAAATCTCTATTTTAAAAAAAACAAAAAACCAATGAGGTTGTGGTTTTATTTTTCTGAGCTATGTTTGGCAAATTGTATTTGGAATGTATAGTTCATAAGCTGCTATGTACTGATTATCTGCCACTTTCGTAGCTGTGAATTTAGAGGACTAATCTCATTCTAGCCTGCAACTCTCTCTTCTGTATCGTAGTTCACACGACTATATACGATAGAAGTGGGTGTTATTTTGATCATAGAGTATATTGAATGCTATTCCTATATGCTAGTGCCTCTGTATATTGGCTTTGTTGTATTGAAGTGATTGTAAACTGCTGTAATGGAAGTTATGAGTTATCTTTTTATTTTTTTTGATTCTGTTGCTTTTTGGTGTGTGTTTGTGTGCGTTTTGTGTGTGTGTGTGTATTTAGCATCAGTATTTCAAACGTAGGCTGGGTTCACTCTTTGATTCTGTAACCGGTGTGTCGTTGACGTATTATTGTGTTTCACGTTTTTTTTTTTTTTTTAATCCTCTGATGACACGGCTTTTGTTTCTCCGTTATTGGACTGTGTTCGCGACTCTTCGTACTGTACAACTTAGTGCCTTTCTTCAAACAAGTGGCTGACGAGGCGACGTCTCGCGTTGATATCAAAGCGGTCTGAAATGTGTTGACTCAATTCCTCCTGAAGGGATCAGCTCCTGTTTTCACATCACAAAACCCCCAAAGTTGTTGGTTTGACTAAGATGATTTTTTTTTTTTTACAGAATCCTAAAAAAGTCAGGGGTTGTTTTATTGTGCTCACCACCACCAACACCGTGCAGTGCTGAGAAACATGGGGCCTGAATATACACAAATGCAGAGCTTTACTCTCACACCGTGAATGTATTTGCGGACGTCAACACATCTGCTTTTGGTTCACAGATGAGTTGTTGCATTTCTAACGGCTGCACAGCATTTTTCTCTCATTCTGTGATGGGGATGTTGATAGTTGGGGTTCGCAGCTAGATGTCGCCATGTGTTTCAGTCAGGGGTTCTTTCAAAATGCTTTATCAATCATACTCAAAGTGTTGGTCCAAAGCTGTCATCTACTCATTGTACTACCTTGTAATTGTTTCGCTATATGGCTTATTAAGTAATGGGTTTTATTTCGTGTACTCGTCTAAATATTCTACTGTGTTGACGATCCTTGAACAAGAGGATGTGCTCGGTTCAGCTTGGAGTGCAGTCTATTATTATAAGTGATTCGTGAGTGTATGTGTCACGAAATAGTGATCTGTACTTAAAGGAACACGTTTTGTTTTTGGACCCTCGCTCGTCGATATGCTCTCTGTCAGCTCGGCGCCTGTAATGAGATGTGCCCACCTCGGTAATCCCCCCCCCCCCCCCCCC